GCTCATAAAACAGGCATACAAAGGCATCTTACCTAGCACTCTATCATAAAATCTTGAGCATATCCTTAGCCCTAATCTAGCATGCGATTCACAAATCCACAATAAAAGCATATCATAAAACATGTATGGGTATTTTGGGAAAACTTACTTGAGCTCGGTCGATTTCATGCACCACACCCCTTTCCTTTATTGGAAAACTCTTTCTATAAAACATTTCCTTTTTGAAAAATCTACCAAATCCTCTGTTTGAGTTCAGACACACCTGTGAGTAGGCCTAAATCCCTTAAACCAAGGCTCTGATACTAGTTTGTAACGTCCCAAAATTTAAGACTAAAAATTTTCAATTTTTATAATGATAAAATACTCATCCAAGACATTTTCATAAAACCATAATGAAAGCAGAGTATGTTAAAATCATCCAAATACATTAGAGTAAAATAAAATATGAAACAATATGGTGTGTGCAATGCAATCATCTTGAGCTCTTTCCTTTCAAACAAGAAGTACTTCAAAAATAAACTGAAAACCATAAGTACGAATCTTACTGAACTCGCCAAAATACCACATACCATACATATCTGCCGGCTCAAGGCTGTACCGGGTCTATTTAATCCCCATGTCTATTTCACCCTGAGTCTATTCCAACTCATGTGTCGTCCCAAGCCGTACCAGGTCTATTTCAGCCACGGGTCTATTTCAACTCATATGTTAGCATAAGGCTTTATAGGGTCTATTTCACCCTACATACATATAGAAAACATGCACACAAGCATATAAAACAAACAGTAGGAGTCACAAAGACTACAAGCACATAACATAGCCTAGTATCCTACAGTAAAACAAATGACTAGGCTGCTGAATCGGAAATCCCACTAAATCACAAGTAAAGAAAACCTAATTAGAAATTAGGGTCCAAACCCTAAATCATGGCCTTAAGTAAGAAAGTTACTTATTCCTTGCCTTATTAGGCCTAGGGCATCAAAGCCCAAATGCTATTAGCCGTGAATCCCAATATATAATCTATGTCCAAAATAGGCCCAACCCCCAAACGCCCAATACAACAAAAGCTTATTGCCGAACAAATGCACAAAGTCCATAAGTCCTACGCATGCCCCAAAACAAGCTCAAGTCCCACTCTGTTAAGTACGCTCAGTGTACCAACCAGTACGCCCGGCATACTCACAAGCCTTGTACCATCGGGACCTCATAAGCGTACGCGTAGAGTGGCCCAAGGTACACTCGGCATATGTTGTAGCTGGCCAAAACTCAACCTAAGGTCTTAATCAGTTAAGACCCAATGTCCAATCTTATGTCTAGGCTTGCTAAAGTGCATTAAGCTATAAAGTTGCCAACTTTATGCTTTGGCATCTCTTATTGGGGAAAATCTTGGATTAAACCACATTATCTCCATGAAACCACCTTTAATTCTTGCATGATTGAACTTAATCCATCAAGACAACATTTTTATGATCAAGGGATGTTAGAAACACTAGGATCTGACATTATAACCTTTTGGAGTAGCTCATACTCTCAAGAACAACTTAAAGGACCATATTATGAAGAAATAAGCCCTAAAATATAAACTAACATATGGAGTAATCAAGGTAGAAGTTTTTTTTTTACCTTCAATAAGCTAGAAATGAAGAGAAACCTATTGATCTACAAGCTCTTCCTGATCCAATGCTTCTTTACAACTCTTCTTCTTCTTCTTCTTCTTCTTCTTCTCTAAGCACCACACACACCCAAAAACACATATAAGCTTAAACTTTAAGGAAGGTGGATTAGGGTTTTAAGATATGACCTAAGAGACAAAGGAAACTGATAAGGTGATGGTCTTGAGGCACTTATTGAGTTTAAATAGAGTGCAAACCCTAAAAATTAGGGTTTTCCCTTGGCTTGAGTACGCCCTGTGTAAGTGTGGGTACACCCAGCATATGTAGGGAACCCCCCGCTACATGCATGCAAAGGAGTATGATGTGCGTACCTACTATACGCCTAGTATACTCATGGTCTACTCTTGATTAATTTAAACAATGGTTATAATTTATACCTGGCGACTCGGGCGTTACATATTCCTAAGTTGATTAGACTTTATGATCAAAGAATAATCCTTTAGTTAAACTAATTCATTCATACATTGATCAGGTGGGAAAATAAATTAGAATACTAGTATTAGTTTCGAGTTATGCTACACTTGAACTAATGATTGACATTACTGGATAATAACATCAATTCAATACATGAATGATCATCACATATTAACTTCCACATTCATTTACCTACTTTTCTTTTTAACCTTAGGTTTATGATTAAAACACTAGTCTTATAACTTTGATGATCACAAATTCTTAAGATTCAAGTTTACCAAATAAGAATGATCATCTAATTCATAAAAACTCAGCAATAAACAGAAGAAGTAGTTATCATTAACACAAAAGGGTCTTCAACAAGTTATCATAACAAACAAGCAACTAGCAAGAATCCAAGATCCAATAAATCAACACATAGGCATAATGATCCTCTACTCTAAAATTTTTTTAGGGTTTTTAGCCCATTATTATTGGAAACAAACACTTAAAATCGATGTTCACAATGGAAATCATAATGAAGGACAAAGTAAAAAAGCTTTAGAAGTAGTATTGCCTTAAATCTCTTCAAGAACTAAACATCAATCGAAATCAGATCTCCTTCTGTCTTCTAACACGTCTCTGGCCTCTAAAAGTCAAAAATAACATGAAACATAAGGTAGGGCCAGGAGATTATAAGAATATTTATAGTTTTCTAAGTATAATCCCCATGCCGTGGCCAAAGCCTCTACAGCATGGCGGGCATTTTCCACGCGTGTTCCTCAAGTCTATTAGATGATCATCAAATTTCTTCTCCACATAGCATCCCCAAACCCTCGACGCCGTGGGCTTTAGATTCCTTAAGTAATTTTGTCTTTAGATGACTAGTTCATTGTTTCCTACTTCCAGCTCGACCTTTTTGTTTCTTTTAATCCCTAGCATGTCCTCGCTGCTACAAAACAAAATTTAAACATAGTAAGTACCTTTTGTACTAAAATAAACACACTTGTAGCTAAAAATATAAGATAATGCATTAAATATATGACTAGTTATGCACATATTAGGGCTCATACTAGAAACCATAAATGCAACACTCTATAATGTTCATTATACTTATATTCCAGGATAGATGTTGATGGTAAGGTTTGGTCAAATGGTGGTAAAGAAAGAGATTGTCCATAAATGTACTTGTTCTCATACCTAAGGTGTATCACCTATTTTCATATGTTTTTTTATTGGTAGTTCTAAGGAAAATGAGTATGAAGTTTTTGGGAAAACCCTAGTGCGTGATACATTTGCTGGAGGAACATGACACTTGCCATGTCATTGGTCACGACGCAACAAAGTGAGGGTCGCGATACGTGGCTGCAATCAACCAAAACCTAGATCTCGGGCCTTGAGCATTGTTGGTCCCTTTTGTCATGATTTCTAGGGAATTTGGATAACTCCAGGTCCAAAGGTGGTTTTGGTTGACATACTGAACCCATTATAATGTATTGAGTGCACGTTTAACTTCCTATTTGGTTTATGCATGAAGTTGTTAGCACCTAAGACTTATTTTAGATCTAGAAATGGTATTGTACTTATGAAAGGCATGGATATGGATAAGATTGAAAACTTTATCCATTAAGAGCTTCATTTGATGGGTTTTTAAAAGTATAATACTTTGTCTTTGTGGATTAGGAAATTAATAAGATAAAATGCATCTATCGAGAAAACATGACGCGACCAAGGATGTGTCGTAACGCGAAGCTTAAAAGGCAACAACGAGTATTTTGTCTCCTAGTGATTGTGACGCGGCCAAGAGATTGTGACGCGGCCAAGAGCTGGGTCGCGATACATGTCACAAGTTAACCGTTGGTTGTTGGCTTTGATCAACTGATTGTTGGTTGTTAACTTTTTGACTAACTTGACTTTTAGTCAAACTTTGATAAATTTGAGTACTTGATTGATGATTGGTCTCGGTATGGCATTAGGTATGGCATTAGGTGCTTTTTGCCGACCGTTTCGTTTGTAGAGATTGTTGTCCTAAATTCATGTGATTTTTTCTCACTATAGTATGTGTGACAATATATTTCTAATATTTGGTAAGTTGTCTATGTACTGATAGTATATGAGTGTGTGATAGACTGAAATTGTTTTGTGATAAGGTATCTGATAGGTTTTATTTGTTTGAGGTATATTTTAATATTAAAATAAGGGTTGTGCGTAGGTATATTTTATCTGTTTGACTGTCTATCTTATTTGCGATTAATATCAGCAGAGACTTCAATATGACTTATGTGAATAGGCCGGTTAGTCTTTATTTGTTTATTGGTTAGTCATAGGACTCAATCTTTTGATGTATGATATGTTGACAGAACACTATGACATTGTTAGTCTGATGGACCGACATAAGGTCATGAGTCTTCAGGAAACAATGTGAGATTGTGAGTTTCATGAATCCGTGTTATCAACATCATCTATATACACAACAATAAGTTGGATGGGTAGGTGGTTATCAACATCATCTATATACAACTCTTACTTTCTTATGAAACTTTGGATAATAAAAGATTGACCTTGACATGTTTAGACTTTAGTCTTTTTATAGCCACGTGTTTAGATCTAACTAGTCTCTTAGTTAAACTATCAAATTTAGAACATGTGAACTTTTCATAGGTATGACCAGGACAAAAGTTTTACCTTGAGGCGGAAAGCTGTTAGATCCGAACATGTTCAAAATTGTACGTAAAAGTTATTCAAACTATTAGATCAGATTATTTAAATTTAGTATGTTTATTTTATATAATCGTTATATAATAAAATTAGTGTTATAAATAAAGCGCATGCAGAGAAAATAACAATATCTACGTGAACCCTATAATAAGCATGAAAATGTGCGAATGGAGAGAAGTGAAGCGGCGGCATGGCTAATCGGGCGAATCTTATCCGATGAACGCCAATGACCCTAATTTCACATCTTTTTATGTTTCTAATCTCCCTAGTGATGCCAATAGGAAGTGTTGTCGGGGATCTATTCTAAGCTGGGTTCTCTGGCCGACATCTACATCGTCGGAAGGAGGGATGTTTCGGGCTCTTTCTTTGCTTTCATTCGGTTCACAAACATCGTGGATTTTGAGTCGATTGAAAGAGGTTTGAACAGTGTCATTTGCCAGGGCAGGAAGTTGGTGGCTAATATTTCTAAGCACCCACGTTCATCATTCAAGGTTTCTAGGCCAAAGGAGATCCATGTCGCTGCTATACCGGTTAATTTAGCACCACGTGATTCCAGATCTTTTTCAGACGTTCTGAAAGGGAAGGTTGGAATGACTGCGACTTATCCCCCTCTAGCTCCGGTGATTAACCTTTCTAGTATCAATGAAATTGAGGATTGTGCTGACAAAAGCATTTTGGTGCGTGAAGCGAAGGATTTTCACATACTTTGCAACTTCCCATCTCTGTTTGCTTTGGAAGGTTTCGATGTGTTGGAATGTAAGTACTTGGAAGGCATGCAAGTTGTCGTTAAGTTCAAGTCTTGCAGGGCAGCAGAGATTTTTAAGGCGAATCAAAACATTTGGCAGAAGTGGTTCTTGAGGATGGAGGTTATAGGGATGAAGGCCATCAGATATAAGAGTGTCATGTGGATTAAGATCACTGGAGTCCCAATTCTTGCGTGGGATGAGTCCAATTTTTCTTCCATTGCTGGTTTTTTTGGAAAATTTCTAGTGAATACTTGCTCCTAATTGAACAACAGCGATATTTCCGTGGTGAAGGTGTGTATCCTCTCAGCATTTCATAAAAAATCAACAATGAACTGGTTGTAAATCTCGGTGCGGTTGTCTAACGACCGGTTTCAAAAAGAAGGAAGGATATTGAAGGTATAATATATGTGTGTATATGTTTGTATAAATGTGTATTTACGTATGTAATATGATTTTACCTAAGTTATGGAGTATGTTGTTGGTGATAAAAAATGTATAATTCAGGTATTTAGATATTTAGGATAGAGGGGTATAGGTGGTTCAAGATCTAAGGAAAGAATAAAAGAAATATACAAAAATTTGAGGCTCACGACGTGAGCATAATGTGTCACAATGTAAGTGTGCAAGAATGGGATCAAAGTTATGTAAATGAAGAGTGACAACATCATACTTTGATTCCTCTTGCGTGAGTATCCAATTCTCACGACGTGATAAAGTAGATTGTTAGATATTATTAGTAAAGAAAATTATTTTGTCATGCAAGAAAAGTGTCATGGAAAGTCATTCACGACGTGAGCAAATAGGCTCACAACGTGAACACAAATTAGGGATATAAATTTATTCCGATTAATTAAGAACATAACATTACGGATAAAACACCCCAAAACACTAACCATAAGGTGTGATTTACACAAAGTTAAACTCCCCAAGTGCAATTTTAAAAGGATTAAAGGGTTTGAATTTAAATTTGCTGAATTAAGGTAACGTTTATACATTTCGAACATTAATTTCTTTGTATTTAGGGCTTGATATGGTGTTTTTCATTGAAACCCTAGATGGGCAATTTTTGTTTAATAGCTGAAAGTTTGCTCTTTAATTTATATTACATGGTTTGAATATAGCTTAAAAACATTGTTTGTGAGTTTTATATGCTATTTGGAATTGTAAGGAATTGAGTTCATAGATTAAGGAAGAGGTGACTTGAGTTAAGTCCTTAATTGATTAGTAGTGAAGTTTATGAATATAATACACTTACAATGAACTGGATAAAGGATTTGATGAATAAATTCAAGTTGTACATGTAAAAATTTATTATTAAGTATCAAGGATAGTAAAATTTTAATAATAAAGGGTAACATAGATGAACAAAAATGTGTGATTCGTTATGTTAACTATGATTACGGAATTATTGTTGAATAGGGAAACAATAGTAAGGTACAAGCAAAGAAGTCTTAATTTCAGGTTATCATCCAAACATGTTATCATCCAAACATGTTGTAGGAGACAAGGTGAGTAATAGTGCATTTACTTACAAGTTTTTGAATAAATATCTTTTAGATGCATATCTCTACATGATGTTTAATTATCAAGGTTTTGGTATATGATGGTGATAGAATTATGAAGAAAATTTTCATCATAACTCGGAATGGAGCTAATGTGATGAACTATGTTTGCTAGTGAAATTTGAGAGTCTCAGAATGGAGACTAGAAATAAAAAGGAATATGGAATTGATTAACATGTTAAACATTTGAGAAAGGAATTAGTGATGTTATGATGTTGATTTAACCACTTATATAAATTTTGAAAATTTTAAAATTATATAAGAGTTTTGTATTGGAAATTCATTAACTTAATTATGTGTTTCAAAATGCAAAAATGTTGTTTTTCAGGATTAAAGAAAAAGAAGTGAAGATCTTTTGTAACGGGGACAGAAAAGTACTTTATTATATATTACTAAAATTTGGTGTCGAAATGTTATGTAGTTACACTTTGTTGTAAATTTTAGTCTTTTAAGTTGCTTTTCGTTTGTATATTAAGTATGAATTTGTATTTTTGATAAAAACAACATGCAGATAAATGCCGAAAACTGATAGAATTTCAAACGGGTGACATGGTCATGCTTAAAGTGTCACCATGAAAGGGGTTAGTTCAATTTGGAAAGTGAGGAAAGTTAAGTCCCCGATTTATTGGACCTTTTTGTATCGTACAATGATTTGGAGCTATTGCCTATCATCTAGATTTACCTGTTAAGTTGCAAGATATACAAAATGTTTTTCATGTATCCCAACTACGAAAAACATTATTTAAGGAATAACAAAAGGTACCATTAACCGATGTGCAAATAGATGAAAAGTTGAGGTACCAGGAACAACCCAGAAGATTTTGGATTATAAAGAGAAAATGCTTCGAAAGAAAAGAGTTGGACTAGTGAAGGTCCAATGACGACATCATAAAGGGACAGATGTTACATGGGAGACGGAGTTAGAAATGAAAAATAAATACCCCATTTATTTTAGTTGATTTTGAGGACGAAATCTTTTAGTGGTGGGTGAACTTGTAACGATCGGTTTCAGAAATGAGGAAGGATATTGAAGGTATAATATATGTGTGTATATGTATTTTTGTATACATGTGTATTTACAAATGTAATACGATTTTACCTAAGTTATGGAGTAAGCTGTTGGTGATAACAATGTATAATTTTGGTATTTAGATATTAAGGATAGTGTGGTATAGTTTGTTCAAGATCTAAGGAAAGAATAAAAGAAATATACAAAAATTTGAGGCTCACAACGTGTGCATAATGTGTCACGACGTGAGTGTGCAAGAACAGGATCAAAGTTGCGCCAATGAACAGTGACAACATCATACTTTGATTCCTCACGACGTGAGTATCCAATTCTCACGACCTGAGAAAGAAGATTGTTAGATATTATTAGTGACGAACCTTATTTTGTCATGCGAGGAAAGTGTGATGGAAAGTCATTCACGACGTGAGCAAATAGGCTCACAACGTGAACACAAATCAGGGACTAAAATTCATTATGATTAAGAACAGAACATTACAAATATAATACACCAAACCACTAACCCTAAGGTGCGATTTACACACACTTAAACTCCCGAAGTGAAATTTCAAAAGGATTTAAGAGTTTGAACTTCAATTTGTTGGATTAAGGTAACGTTTATACATTTCTAACATCAAATTCTTTGTATTTAGAGCTTGATATGGTGTTTTACATTGAACCCCTAGATGGGTAATTTTTGTTTAATAGCTGAAAGTTTGCTCTTTAATTTATATTACATGGTTTGAATATATCTTAAAAACATTGTTTATGAGCTTTATATGCTATTTGGAATTGTAAGGAATTGAGTTCATAGATTAAGGAAGAGATGAGTTAATGAGTTAAGTCCTTAATTGATTAGTAGTGATGTTTATGAATATAATACACTTACAATGAACTGGATAAAGGATTTGATGAATAAATTCAAGTTGTACATGTAAAAATTTATTATTAAGTATCAAGGATAGTAAAATTTTAATAATAAAGGGTAACATAGATGAACAAAAATGTGTGATTCGTTATGTTAACTATGATTACGGAATTATTGTTGAATAGGGAAACAACAGTAAGGTACAAGCAAAGAAGTCTTAATTTCAGGTTATCATCCAAACATGTTGTAGGAAACAAGGTGAGTAATAGTGCATTTACTTACAAGTTTTTGAATAAATATCTTTTAGATGCGTATATGTATATGATGTTTAATTATCAAGGTTTTGGTATATGATGGTGATAGAATTATGAAGAAAAATTTCATCATAACTCGGAGTGGAGTTAATGTGATGAACTATGTTTGCTAGTGAAATTTGAAAGTCTCATAATGGAGACTAAAAATAAAAGGGAATATGAACTGATTAAGAGGTTAAGCATTGGAGAAAAGAATTAGTGATGTTATGATGTTGATTTAACCACTTATATAAATTTTGAAAATTTTAAAATTATGTAAGATTTTTGTATTGGAAATTCATTAACTTAATTATGTGTTTCAAAATGTGAAAAGTTTGTTTTTCACTATTAAAGAAAAGGAAATGAAGATCTTTTGTAATGGGGACAGACAATAACTTTATTATATATTTCTAAACTTTTGTGTAGAAACGTTATGTAGTTACACTTTATTGTAAATTTTAGTATTTTAAGTTACTTTTCGTTTGTATATTAAGTATGACTTTTTATTTTGGATAAAATACATATATAAAATACAAATGTATTTTGGATAAAAAGGTTTGGTTGTTATAAGTTGGAATGGTTGTAACAGATTGCCTATTGGGTAGGGGTGTTTGAAATTGAAGATGATTGGACCCCCTTCAAACCGTTCTCAATGGCAGATGTTTCAAAATCAGATGATGATAAAGACGACGACAACAAAGATGGTGTCTCCAACATGTTGGCGATAATGGTTATCCGGCGGCCGGTGGAATGGAGGGATTTTAATAATGGGATCAGGTTGTATCTCTCCTATTGGGCCTTCCAAATCTGGGCCTAATTCTAATTCCACTCCATCTGGGCCTATTAGCAGTCCGGATTTCAAACTGGGTGATTCATCTGCTAAATGAAGCCATACTAAGAAGAAAAGTAAAAGTCATTCAAATCAAAAGAACAAAGGTTTCAGTATTATGCTCCCTCGTTTCAACCTCAACGAGTGTGTCATGGAATCGTAGGATACAAATCACCAAAGTAAAAAAGGAACTTCCTCCTCTCAGAGTTATGCTTCTTCATCCTCTGTGTTAGGTTAAACTATCGACATTGGTAAACAATTGGGATTTCAAAATTTGGAAGGGAATGCATCCATTAAGGATGCTTTTATTAGTGGCGGTGGTGTAAAATTAGGTGAACCATGAATGTTATCTCTTTGAATATCAAAGGAATGAGAGATTCTAACAAACTGGAATGGCACAAAAGGCTCAAGAAGGAACACAATTTCTCATTGTATGGGCTACATGAGATCCTTCTTTCTACTATCCCTCCATATTTTTATGATTGGTGACACAATATTGGTTTTGGCATCGACTTTGTTGATTCAGTGAGCATATCGGGAGGCATTATTTGTTTGTGGGATAAGTCATTTTTTTAAGGTGATCACCATTATTAAATCCATGTTTTTCATGGAAGTAGTTGGGTATTGGCGTCGTGTTGTAGGAGAGACAATAATTGTAAATGTTTATGCTTCCTAGACTTCTATTGAAAAGGCGATTCTTTGG